ATATTGATTATTTTTGATAAAATTAAATTTAATACTCTCTGGAATTCGTTTGTAGGAAGGTTTAAGAAAGAAAAACTGTGTAAAACATCCCCAAAAATCGATTGAACATATCTTAAATATACCGTTCCATTTGAAAATTTCAAGAAAAATTAGAAAAATTTAATTGTTTTCAAATATCGACCCATAGAGTCAGTCCAACTAACTGAAGTTGGAATTTTTTACAATCAAATTAAAGAACAGACTCTTGTCTTTCCAACGAACCTAAGATCGAGTAGTTTTGAAGTTATTCGTGTTCTTAAGTTGCAATATTTGACAGCTCATAACTGTCTTATCCGATAAGTTATGGTAAAAAGTCATGAATCAAAATTGTGTGAAATTTCATCAAAAATCTATTGCTAGCATTTTTGAGATACGTTTCCATTTGAAATTTAAAAAATAAAACCATTTTTGTACTTTGACAGTTGGGTTACGCCCCCTTACGGTCATTTTAGAAAGCGGAAATATATTTCCAGCATTTTTTCTTGGCCATATTCATGGGATAATTTTTTTCCGACATGACTACGATGAATAGTTTTTGAGATATGGCCGAGTGCCATTCTTAATGAATCACCCTGTACATGAAATATGTCGAGTATTTTTCGCAGAATCCATAAATGTCATAATATACAGGGGGTACCATTTAAAAAAATAAAGTTGATACCAACGAAGCTATTTTTGAGACACTCTGTATGATAAAAAATATATCAAAAAATTTCAAACAAAAAAACAAAATTGACGTGTCTGAGCGATTTTTCAAAAATTCTACCGTTTTCAAAATAATGAATTTATGCGGGACTTTATGAACTCACTGTATATAAAAATTAATGCCACTTTTCGTTGTAATTCTATAACTCAAAAAGGGCTCACCTAGTTCGGACTAGTTATTAGATGGTTTATGTGAAGTTTGCACAAAATCGGTCGAGCGGTTCTTCATTTATCACATTTTTTGTAATAAATGAATTATTCAATAAATGGAGGATCATTTTGTTAATGGGGATTTTGCTGTCAAATTGAAACTTTTTTCAGCGTTGATAGTACCAGCATGTTGTTATGTCATTAATATGGTCATTTCATTACTTATTTTATTTATTTATGAAAAAAATTTATTAAGCCCGCATATGGCGCCATCTCTTATAACCGATACCAAGTTTTTTTTGTATTTTGTATTTTGTATAACGCGCCATCTCTGATACCTGGAACGAAGCTCGGCATTGCAGATACAGTAGAATAATGCTGCTCAGGAACTGGAGCTATTTCGAACAGAACTATTCCACTATTCCGATCAGATAGAGTCGAGGGGTAGGTCACTTAATCAAATTTGTACACCTAATTACAAATAAATTCAATTACTTCTATTTTTTTGTAATTGAATGTATTTGTATGTAATTGTTTGTAATTGAACATAATCAAATGTAGGTAATTCAATATAATTGACTGTAATTCGATATAATTGACTGTAATTGAATATAATTTATTGTAATTGAACCTAATTGAATGTAATTGGATGTAATTGAATGTAATTGAACGTAATTGGGAGGTAATTGAGGTAATTGAATGTATTTTCCAATTACATTTTACCATCTGTTTACCTAATAAGGGAGTAACTCAGGTTGTAACACCCTAGTAGGAAAATTCTGAAATTAAAGAAGAATTATTCTTATTAAATAAACACTAAATTTATTACATTTATAATATTCATATACACTTAGCAAAACGAAATAGGAGCCACTTCTGAATATGTTCGTATTTTTTAAAGAAATTATTTTAATAAAGAAATTATATTTAAGTAATTTAAAGTTGCTCCTTTTTCGTTTTGATCAGTGTATTTTTTTATAAACTTTTGATAAACATTTAAATTTTGGAAATCCACTGGGAATTGTAAATGACCTCGTTTATTGAACTCCGGCTCAGGAAGAACCATATATACATTGCTTCGAGAAACTTCACAATCTATATCTTCTTTGTCTGGCCAGATAAAAATATTATTTTATCTCTTCAAAAATTTAACAACTAGGTATTTGCTGGTAATTTCTATTGTCTGTCCAACATAGCGCTTGACTGACTTGCCAATGTAGGTTATAAGCACCCATGATCCAGATTTATATATTTCATCAATTTCTACATTTCCTTCCCTTTGCTCTTGCTCTTTCATTTCCTCTTCTCCTAAAATGTCTTGAATGTCATAGTCTGACTCGCTATCGTGCAATGAATAATCAGATCGAGAATCAGATAAACTGTCTTTGTCACTTGAAAGATCACGTGTTTTTTTTTTCTGTTTGCATAATGTACTTTTATATTCTTTGCTTTTATGTTCAATTTTTTGAGAATATTGCTTACGTTTTTAGCTTTGACAGCAAAATGTTCTTTTATTTTTTGTAAGGTCGATTGTTCAATTTTGTATTTTTCATCTTCCCAGTTGGGTTCAGTCATTGTTAAATTATAGTTTTCTATTTTCAAATTTGTCTGATCTTCACTTGATTCTAACTCACATTCATCGTTCACGACATACCAGTTTGCAAGACAGATTATATTTTTGTTAGCAACATCGCAGCTTTCTTGATCAGCACTCTTATCTTTAATTAAAAACCCAATAATTTGACCAACGTAAAATTTGGGTAAATGTTTAATTAGGGAAAAAATACACCAGTCTCATCATACCTACACCGAATATGCGTATAAATGTTGCATTTCAATATGATTTTGACCCAGGTCTTAGTTTTTATTGGAAATGAAGATGGAGGATGGAGGGGTTATGTATTTATATCTAATTGACAGTAATTGATTGTAATTAGATGTATTTGAAAGTATTTCAACGTAATTGAAAGTATTTCAACGTAATTGAATATATTTGAAAGTATTTGAATGTAATTAAATGTATTTGACAGTATTTGAATGTAATTGAACGTATTTGAAAATATTTGAATCTAATTAAATGTATTTGAGAGTATTTGAATGTAATTGAACGTATTTGAAAGTATTTGAATGTAATTAAATGTATTGGAAGGTATTTGAATGTAATTAAAATGTAATTGAATGTAATTGAATATAATTGAATGTAATTAATTAAACGTATTTGAACGTAATTGAATGTAATTGGGTGTAATTGAAAGTAATTGAATGTAATTAAATGTAATTGAAGGTAATTGCAAGGTAATTGAGGTAATTGAATGTATTTTTCCAATTACATTTCAACATTTGTACACGTAATTGGGGAGTGACCTACCCCTCGGATAGAGTGGTGCAGAAAGAGTAGATCAGATAGAGTAGTGCAGATAGAGTAGAACAGATGAAGTATTGCAGTGCAGATAGAGTGAAACAGGGCTGCGCTAGAGATTTTTTTTTCTTTACATTCCTTGAACATTCCTGTGCCTGAGTTTATTTATTTGGTGGTACACTTTACAAGAATAATGCCCACAAGCTGCCTAAAAAAGGATAATGTAAAATTTTAATTTTAGGTGACTTCTGATCCAGAGAGTAAACATTAATTTTCTTCAACCAAAGCCAAATTCACCATCGAAAAAAACTGAATTTAATTCAGCTAATAGATACGTTAACACAACATTTAATAGGTATATTTAATAATTCAGAGGCGGTACGAAGTTCGCCGGGTCAGCTAGTTTAAATTAAAAATTCTGCACTATTCGGAATAAAGATTGTTTGAAAATAAAATATTGAATTTCATTCGGAGTATAAGTATTCTTCATGTGACTTGCATGGATTTTTTCAAACTTCCATGCGCGTCACATAAGTATCACTTATACTCCTAATAAAATAAATAAATTTACTATATGATGAGCGTTTTTAACCCATCTGCCATTTGGTTAAATGAAATGTGTTTATGAGAATATGCATATTTTCAATATGGCAGAAACCGCAATAAGTTACATAAGTTGCACATTTGAAACATTTTTTTTTTTTCTAAAGATACAATTTTTTATCGTTCTGCCTTATCATATTTAGGTATCTTGAGAGCTACTTTAATTTTAATTACCCGGTTGTCAGACGGGAGAAAGTTGTTTGGACACATAAATATTTTCTCACAATTCAACAATAATTGTGCAACGTATGTAGCTCATTGCGGTTTCTGCCATATTGAGAATGTGCATATTCTCATAACTACATTTCACTGGAACAAACGGCAGACGGGTAAAAAACGTTCATGATATGAACAATTTTTGTTCCAATTTTGTTCATCAATTATAAGAACTTGTATCAGCCTGCAATTTCTACCAGTCGAAATTTAAGCTTTTAGTAGTAGCTAATTTAATATAGATTATTGGCAGACAGGAGAAAATTGATCTCAACTTTGAAAAATTTAGAATATAGACTGGAACATAAACACTTTACTTTAACTTTTTTAAAACAAAATAACACAAAAACTTGTAAAAAAGCTGTGAAAACCGCATAAAACATAACCGGCCTAATCTACACGAATGTAAATAAATGATTTGTTTTATCTCAGAGCGACTGTCAAACTCATTTGTGACGTCACATGGACATGCCCTATAACTTAAAAAATGAAGAAATTAGACAGCTTGAAATGTTACCAAGATGAAATGGAATATATAAATATAATCTGAAAATCGGCGCCAAATAGAAAAAAACTGAGAACATAATTGAATTCTGCTTAAAAAAGTGCTCCCAGAAAGTTTTTACGGAAATCAATTATTTTCATAAACAAAAAAGTTATGAGGGTTTCACAACATTGCTCAAAATCGAGAATCGCCCTCTAGCGGCTAAACAGTTGAAGATATCAAAATGCGGTTTGCACCAATCAAGATTTCAGGAAATTTGAGCCTCAGAGTGGGGGGTTCATTTTTTTGTATCTCAATCAGAAATTGACGTTTCCTATTCAAAGTGTCCAAATTAGCCCACCCTAAACAAAAAATAGGTACAGGAGGTGGTACTTTATAACTTGACACTTGGTACTTTTCTTATTTTTAAAGTATGCATGTACTTACATTTGTCAAATATCCAAGACCGCCTTCCCATTTGTGACCTTTGTGGGGATCGTTTGGATAAGTACCGGTAGGGGATCGTTCTCCATGTCTAAATAGCTAGCAAATGAATATTTTAAACTTAAATTTGTGAGAATCTGTTTTTCCCTAAGTTGAATATATTTTACAAAACAGAAAGTCAAGAGAAAGAGCTTGAAAAAAAATAAGATCCTATGGTAGTTTTACTATGAGTAATTTGTGGTAAGTATTATCAAGGTAAGTTAGTGTTTCTTCAGTACTTACAACATGTATTTGTTTAGGATTCCTCTCACTTTGAATTAAATCATTACACAGAGAAAAAACGACAATTAACACCAAAAGCAGCATCTTTGCAATTGATAATTAAAATTAATTATAGAACAGCTAATCTTTTTCAAGATTAATTTTATAGTCCCAATGTCATCTTATGTGACAAACTTTTTGATCTGTTTACTGTTTATTTTGAATTTTTTGTTTTGTTTTTGTTTTTGTTTACATTTTATATTCTAGGTTAGGATTACGCTTGGGGATGGCAACGATATATCGATTTTTATTTCATATCGATAATGGATATACCAAAAAATCGATAACTGTTTTTCAAACTCCATTTATTTCTTGCGTCCGGTATTTTGCTCAAAGAGCAGAACGGAGCTACAGCAGAGCCGTAATCACGTATCCACCGAGCGCACAGAGCAATTAAACGCTGTATTAAGACTGAGGGCGGCTTCTCATGAGCGCAATTTGACATTTATGGCGTGACAGCGTACCTGAATGCAGAATTCTGATTGGCCAAAATCCCGCCATATTGGATACGCTGACATTCTGCCGCAGATACGCCAAAAGTTGAGCAAAGTTCAATTTTTCGCGTAGAAATTCAGCGTTTTTAGAGGTTAAGCTGGCAACCGTTTCGTTTTCTTGATTTTTGTAATTATTTACTGTCCATATTTGTAACTATTTGGAAATAAAGCAAAAACAAATACAAATTACAATCAAAATTCAAAGAAATATTTCAAAATTTAGAAAAAGAATATAATTTGACATACGCGGGCGGCGTAAATTCTCCACTTCATCTGAATGTTACGTCAAAATTCACGTATTCAGCATTTGCGCCAGTTATGTCAAGTTTACGCTCATGAGAAGCCGGCCTTATACACTTTTTAAATAAGCGAACGGTAAGCTCATGTTCGGAGAACTCAGTTTCTTTGCCTATTTGCAACAACTTTACAAATTTATTAAAAAAAAAAACATACACAGAAAAAAAAAGACAAAAAATCAAAGAGTTAAAGACTTGTTCAATCCCAATGAATTTGTGGTCAATTTAACAATGAGAGATACTGGCCAGTTGGTTTTAACCAGAACCATAAAACAAAAAAATTATAAATTTTCGTGTTCTCGTGAGTTAATTACAGTTTTTAATTTTTAACTTTATCTATTATTTAAAATAAAATATTATTATTATAAAAATTTCAAGCCTTCACTACGTTAAAGTACCAGCGATGACGTAGTCGGCGTGTCGTTTCTCGTCTTGACTTGGTGTGTTTTGTGTTTTCACCACAGGTTATGATTGCGCTGATTTTTGCTCTTTGCATTATGCATATTTGGTTCCAGTACATTTATGTAACATTCTAAAACAACCCTTGTTCAGATCTCAATTGCATCTTTCTTTTTGCCTATTATGTTATTCGAAATTAAATAATATTTTTCATCACATATATTCATCTTAACTACGACCACTGGCATTCTTTGCCACTGGCGCAAACCGTTAACGACACCATCGATGACGTCGCAACAATGCAACACCATATGAACTTGATTCCCATAATCGAGGCCGATGAGCAATAGTGTGTAATATCCTTGGTGTAGCCTAGCCGAGTCACAAAAATTGGCGCTTCCCAATGCTCTGTTTTTTTATAGTGGTGAATTTATTACCATACGACCAAACAGCAAACAGCCTAATTTATGAAATCTTGACTTGGCACCAAAAAAGACCGGTAAGAACCGATTAATTTATAACGGTTCTGGTTCTGCCTACCTTATTACATTTCTAGAGTTCTTTTCACGTGGCTCCGGTTTAACTAACCGGGTTACAAAACGGTTAGAGAAATGACATACCGTTTTCTAACCCGGTTACAAAGTGACGTGATGGATACCTACCACTCGAATTTGAGCGGTATGTTGCGGTTTGTTAAACTGGAGCCATGTGAAAAAAGTTTAGGAAATATGGGTTTCGTTCCGATTCCAGTCTGCAAAAAAAACGGTTCCGTTCCGGTTTAATATCGTTCCGGTCCGGGTCTCTGGCTGTGACTGAGACATAAGGTTTGTTTTTTGTGTTGTTCGGAGCAGCACTTCCTGCTCTGGGCCGTTCGTTTGTGTCACGGCAATGAACTGACGAACGTTATTATGGTTCTTATCTGCCATAATCTGAAATATAAGAGCTAGCTCAGTTCAAGTTAGTGCAACACAAACAAACAAACGACACAAATCTTATTATATTTTCTCATCTATTTCGCCTTCCTATTGACGATGGTAACTTTGTTTTGGATTCACTCAGAGCTAGTCCAGAATAATTCTGCACATGCGTATATTATAAAACGCGTTTCAGTTTTTTTCGAATCGTAATCGAACTGTGTTGACAGTATTTTGGTTTATTTAGAACTATTTAGGAATAATTCTGGGATTGTTCCAGAACAGTTCTCTAAGGGCGGGTATTATAAAACTACTTTGACAGTTAACTTTAAGTTAACTTTTTGAATTACATGTAATTCCAGAAGTTAACTTTAAGTTAACTCTCAATGTAGTTTTATAATACCCGCCCATAGTACACTTGGCCAAACATAAAACTGGTACAGGCAATATATATTTTTTGTGAGTCAGGTTTAATAACAAAAAGTCTGTTCTGAAAAACTTCGTTCAGACAGTTTTTGTCAACGTCAAACCTGAACAAAAGTAAATGCAACATGTTTTTATGTTATGATTGGTTTAAATATGATACTGACTTGACTCTTCTTGTCATTGTTGAGGTGATAAAAAAGGTCGATATACACAATACAACACAAGCTGAGTTTGGCTATTCAGCGCGGAGTTGGAGTGGAGTGAACAGAGTTAATGGAGTCACCCCTAATACCGTAAAAAGCAATACCCGAACCTTAACCCGAACGGCTGGAGTGTGAATGGAGTCACTTCGAGTGCACGGAGTGAGCAAGCCGAACTCACCCACAATAGGAAAATGCGTACCAGTTTTATGTTTGGCCAAGTGTACTTGCTCTAAAGGAGGTTTAGATTTGTGATTTGCGGCGTGTTTTGATTTTTTTGGTTCCGAATCGGTTCAGAACTAGTATTTAAACAGTCCTCTATTATTTTCTGTGCGCAATCCCAGAACCGTTCCAAATTTCGAACTAAAACAAGCTAGTGAGAGTGAGACCAACTTTCGAAAGGTCCGTTCTCACAGAAAATCACAAACCAGTCACAGACTTTGTGATTGGTGCAAATCGCCAACTGACTTCTAGCAATTTAAGGTCTGTTTCTGCAGAAATCACACACCAGTCAGAGTGAATTTCATTGGTTGCAATTAAATTTCTGACTGTTTTCAACCAATGAAATTCGCTCCGACTAGTCCGACTGGTTCCTGATTTCTGCAGAAACAGACCTATGATTAGAGATGCCGCGTAAACCCAGTCAGTATCATTGGTTAGCTTTGGATGCATTTACATCTTAGATTTACATCACGGCATTTATTAATTGGTCTGTTTCTGCAGAATCACAAACCATTCAGAGCAAATTTCATTGGTTGAAAACAGTCAGAAAACTAGTTTCAACCAATAACCCTTTTCACGTGGCTCCGGTTCAACAAACCGCAACATACCGCTCAAGACCTAGAACTTTTGTAACCGGGCTAGAAAACGGTATGTCATACTTGAAATACCGCTACTAACCGTTTTGTAACATGGTAAGTTTAAACGGAGCCATGTGAAAAGGACTAATGAAATTCACTTTGACTAGTTTGTGAATTGTGATTTCTGCAGAAACAGACCTAATATTTGATTGAATTAAAATTTTACAAATAGAGAAAAGATTGAACTTGAGAAAAAAGTTATAAAAATTCCTTCTGTTTGCACTTTGCTCGCCTTGTTACAAAATCAAATTCATTGGGTACATTCAGGCAGTGCCAGCGGCTTAGTTCAGCCACTCAGCGGGAACTTTATTCTCGAAACCAGGGAGCAGCGTTCTCATTGGAACGAAGGTTCCGTCTTTGTCGTCCGGCATAACACTGACAATGACAGAGCAATCGTTTTTACGAGAACGCTGTTCCTTAGTTTCAAGAATAGAATCCCTGCTGAGCGGCTGAGCTTAGTCGCTGGGACCGCCTGAATGTACCCATTGTATTTTTGTTTGGAATTTATATTTTGAATTCTCTGTATTTTTAAAACGTAAAATAAATAAAACAAAATATGCAAATATGTATTTACTCTTTATTTTTCAAATTTTTATATATTTACATAATATCAGAATGCTTAATTGAAATTAATAAAATCAATGCCAAGAAATATCCATTGATTTCTATCAATTATTGTCAAAATTCACTGAATTCTATAAAAGCCGATAAATTTCCCAATTTGGGCCTCGACTTTGATCCGACAAAATTTATCAAATTACTGCTTCCAGCAACTGCTTCAACATTTAAATTTTCTTTTCTAGTAATAAGTTCATTGGAATCTGACTCGTTTTCAACATAATAACGTGGCTTTTCTTCTTCATCAGATTTTGAAGGTACTTCTTTGTCAACATTTTTCGATTTCAAATCGGTACTCGTAGAACATTTCTTGGCAAAGTGAGTTTTATTTATCAAGTAAGACCTTACCATTTTTCCATGGGGATATTGGCACCTCGGCTTCATACATTTGCCGTACTTTTCATATTCGGGACACAAATATTGATGGCGTTTGTCACACTAAATTGGTTATTTTTTGGAATAAAAAAAAATAATGTGAATAATTATTTGAAATACATAATAGAAATTGACTTAATTAACCATTTTTTAATTATTAAAGCTACTTTCGAGTGCCACCCTTTGAGCGCTCCTGAGTTACTCTGAAGTACTCCAGTTTCAAGTGTTTGAGTACAAAACGCACGGTATATGACAGGTGTAGAGTGTTCCAGGAGCTTCGCACTATGCATCCGAAAGCGGCTTAGATTGTTTGTATTTTTATATTGAAGTTTCTTTTGGTTTATTAAGCCTAGGAAAAACATTTATAAAATATCCTGAATACATTTACCTGGACGGCCTTTTCACAAAATCCTTCCAAAAAATCGTGGCACACTTCAGCTTTGGGGCTGATTTTCACGTGCAAATAGGGACAGTTTTCTTTCAAACAGGCGCCTTCCAAGTAGTATTTGCAGGTTGCCATTTTTTCTGGCAAAACGCTGTGGGACAGGAGGCAATTTTCTTTTAGACAGGCACCTTGCAAGAATCTAAAAAATAAACACAATTGTAAAAGATACTGTGAAGAACCCAAAAAGAGGGCCATAATACAGGGACTTAAACAGTAAAAAAGAGAAATTTTCGGAAAAATAGTTTTGGCAATTATTATTTACTTTAATAAAATTTAAATTCAATCAAATAAATTTATCTTAAATTAAATCCCAATAATCAAAGTTATAATTGGCAAGTAATAAAGTAAATAAAATACTCTCCATAGGCTCAATTGGAATCCTTTAAGTTCAAATTAAAATAATAATTAACGCAGTTATCTGTTTCGCTGCTTAAGCCAACGATAAAGGTCAAAAATCTAATCCAACACTTATTATACGGACCCCCCTCTATAGTCATCAGTTATCTTTACTGAAGGCAGTCCGAATGAAGTAATTACGCAACCGGAAGAGACACGAGATTCCTGACTCTTTAAATAAAAAATAAACTCATAAATCTAGACACCCAACGAAATCAATCACAAAGCTAACTTGTTTAATTGTGTACACGCGCTGTCGGCGTTTTTGAATAGCGAAAACGGAAACGAAATTCTTGCGACATTACTCTAATAAATACTAAATTAGGACACGCAGGTGCAGGAATCATCGAAGATAATGATTCCTAGAAATAGAGGCGATAAACTTAAACCCACGTGGATATTTATGGTGGGATTGAATACTATTTAAACATATTACAATGAGAGGAGAGGAAGAAGCAATTAAAAAATTACACTTACATTTAGTAGTAGAATTAGCAGTTGATTCATAGTAAGATAGTGGAGAACAGTAGAAATTGGCAGTGATTTGAGTACTCCTCCAAAAAGTTATTTTCTTTATTTCTGCCTCAGGCCCAAATTAAATTCGCGATTTAATTGACTATACAGGGTGTCCGGTAAGTATATGGCATACTCTCGGAAGCGTATAGGAGGGGTCAAAATAACCCTACTTTGATCTAAAAAAAAATTCCTAAAGTGCCCCTTAACGGAGATACAGAGCCCCAAAAGAGTACATGGCGATCCACCTTTTTGACTCTAACTTCTGAACCGACTTGTATAATTAAATGAAATTTTGATATTTTATGTTGGCCATAAAGACTCATAAAATCAGCCTACAGTGGATGTTTCACATACTCTGGGAAGTCAGGAACGGACTTGCCACCATATTCATTTTGCCAAATTTTTGACAGGAGTCATTTTACACAGCTGAAAAGTGATTTTCTAATTACTTTGGTCATTTTTCTTCTAAAAAGGTATTCTACATTTGTTTCGATTAAATTAGCCGTTTCCGAAAAAATTAGGTTTTTGTATAACACCTTCGATCATTTATCTTCGAAATTTATTTAATAATCAAGTCGATCCTAGATTAAGAAAAAATAGGTAGAAGTTGACTTATAAAAAGTACCTGAAACCGACCCTTTTTGCCATATAAAGTTACTTTTTATAAGTCAACTTCTACCTGTTTTTCTTAATCTAGGATAAACTTAATTATTAAATAAATTTCTAAGGTATATGATTGAAGGTGCGTATACAAAAACCTAATTTTTTCGGAAACGGCTGATTTAATCGAAACAAATGAAGAGCACCTTTTTTGAAGAGAAATGACCAAAGTATTCAAAAAATCAGTATTCAGCTGTGTAAAATGACTCCTGTCAAAAATTTGGCACAATGAATATGGTGGCAAGTCCGTTCCTGACTTCCCAGACTATGTGAAACATCTGCTGTAGGATGATTTTATGAGTCTTTATGGCCAACATAAAATATCAAAACTTCATTAAATTATACAAGTCGGTTCAAAAGTTAGAGCCAAAAATGTGGATCGCCAGGTACTCTTTTGGGGCTCGGTATCTCCGTTAAGGGGCACTTTAGGAATTTTTTTTTAGAACAAAATAAGGTTATTTTGACCCTTCCTATACGCTCCCGAGAGTATGCCATATACTTACCAGACACCCTGTATATTGACAAGTTAAAAAGTTAGAAGTAAATTCAAATCTTTTATTCGATTTTGTACGTGCTAAGCAAATAAAACAAAAATAATTTGATAGAGTCAGTGTAGTGAATTGAATGACAAAGACAAATATTATAGTATGTACAGTTGCGGCCATTGGAATTGGCACAAACTTTTTGAAGGCAACTCGTATCGCATCAAAATCTGACAAAAACTGTAACCAACAAAAGTAGGCAGTGGCGTGAGTAATATGATGATTGAAAGATAAATAATAAAACTAATAAAACTGTTCTACACCTTTTCCATATGTATTTCAGAGATAGTCAGTTTAATTTCAGAAAGCGTCAATTGCAATTGAGATTAGTAAATTGTAATTCGGAAAGCGTCAATTGTATTTCAGATTAGTTAATTTTATTTGAGAAATAGTCAATTGTATTTCAGATTAGTTTATTTTATTTCAGAAAGTGTCAATTGTATTTCAGATTAGATAGTTTTATATCGGAAAGCGTCAATTGTATTTCAGATTAGTTCATTGTAGTTCAGAAAACGTAAATTATATTTCAGAAATTATCAGATGTAGTTCAGAAATCATCAGGTATCTACGCAGATTTTCCCAAATCAACACAAGATAGGTGTATAGGTGACTCATTATAAATTTTATTTAATACACTACATTGATAATATCTGAAATACATTTGACGAATTCTGAAATACAATTTACAATTTCTGATCTACAAATAAATAATCTGAAACACAAATGACGATTTCTGAAATAAAAGTGACCAAACTGAAATACAAATGACTTTTTCTGAAATATAATTGACCAATCTGAAACACAAATGATATTTTCTGAACTACAACTGACAAAGTTGAAATACAAATAACACTTTCTGAAATTGAACTTACACAACTGAAATACAATTGACGCATTCTGAACTAGAATTGATGAATGATGAATCTGAAATACAAGTGATACATTCTGAAATACTTATGGAAAAGGTGTAGAAGCACTTTTTCAAGCAGAATTCAGTGACGTTCTCAATTTTTTTCTAGATGGTCCCAACTCCGAGATATTGACCAAAGTCTAGTTTTTTCCAATAGGACACTCTATATATTAATAGCTCATTAGAAAGCTCGGCTTTTTCTTATTTCAATGATATAAAATTCGATAGGTTTATCTCTAATAGTTTTCGAGAAAAAAAATTATTTCGGTTTTTGTCATAAGAAGTAATGTGTAAGAAAAGGACTTTACATCTGTAAGGAAACTGAGAAAGGTCTCTTTCTAACTCATTGTTTCTTATGACAAAAGCCGAAATATTTTTTTTTCTCAAAAACTGTTAGAGATAAACCTATCGAAATTTGTATCATTGAAATCAGCAAAAGCAGAGCTTTCTAATGAGCTATTAATATATAGGGTGTCCCATTGGAAAAAATCGGATTTTGGTCAATATCTTGAAATCGAGGCCCAATAGAAAAAAACTGAAAACGTCACTGAATTCTGCTTGAAAAAGTGCTTCTAGGAAGTTTTTACGGAAATCAATTATTTTCATAAACAAAAAAGTTATGAAGATTTCACAGTATTGCTCAAAATCGAGAATCGCCCTCTAGCGGCTAAACGGTTGAAGATATCAAAATGCGGTTTGCACCAATCAAAATTTCAAGAAATTTGAGCCTCGGAGTGGGGGATTCATTTTTTTGTATCTCGCTCAGAAATTGACGTTTCCTATTAAAACCATCCAAATTCGGACACCCTGTACAACTCTCCATATTTTTTGAGGCTAAATTCTCCAACCAATAGGAGCATTTTGACCCATATCTTGCGCATGCGCTGAATGAGTGAACAAATCTCTCAAATTGAAAAAGCAGTTCGGCATATACATGTCTCCTTCCAATCCTGCACGCAAAAAAGAGACAGAGATAGCTTGGGTGAGAACCCGCGAGAAATAACTGTCAAACGAGGCACGCAACAGGATTGTATTACAAAAAAGAAGAGAAGTTTTTTGACTGAAATTATTGAGGAAATTGAAAAGTAACCGGAAAATTCATCAATTTGAAATTCGACTTTGTTAAGAGTGTTTTGCTTTCCGTGTTATTCGCGATTTTTGTGTACTTGACTGTTTTATCGTTTATATATTGTTTATTATCATGGTTGCTTCCTGTTTTGTCTGTAAAAACAACACTACAACTAGCCCATGCTTAGGATATTTTAGTTTCCCGAACGATGAACGACTTGTAAGTATTTATATTTACATATTTCATATTAGGTTTACTCTATACATTCACATAATCTTAATCTGATGAAATAATTGACCACATTCCAAAAATATCTAATACTGTGATGCAAATCTGGATGGGATTGAAATCCTGGCTGTGTCTTAATGGTCTAAGAGCCAGTGAACTTTTTTGCGTAAAAACTTAGTGATGGCTAAAAAATCATTATATTATTTGTTTCGAAATTATAATATGATCCCGTTATATCCTTAATGTTAATCCACAAAAAATCCTAGTCCGACTCTGTCCACGGCCCAGGATTCGTTATTTCCGATCAATAATGCGCAAGCGCGAAATATAGGGACATAGAATTTGGCTTCAAAAAAATCAATGGTTTTTCAACGGAGTTGAACAACTGTATCGGTACGGTATAAACTGTGACTGTAGTGACTGTACATATTGTTTGACCAGCGGATCTGAGTCTACGGAAGGAATTCGGAAGTAAATGTGCCATGTTGCCACGTTTAATTATAAAAAAGCGAAGATACTAGGCATGCAGTATAGTTCATTTGAAAATCCATTTTTTAATAACAAAATATTGATAACAATAATAAAACGCTAAATATTTTAACGTGGTCGTTAGATCTATTCTTATTTTAATCCTGATTTCTTCAATTTGGTCTATTGTAAAAAATAAAAAATAAACATTTTCTAAAGATACCATCAGCTTTTGACTATTTGGCAAGCATCCGGCCTGGATGAACCTGATTGGTGGAGTTTTTGACAAGATCGCCGTTGCCATGGGGAACCATTGGGATGTGAATGAGCTAATGTCACCTTACGTCTCG